ATTTCGTAGGAATGAGTGACTGACTGGCTCCCCATCAGAGAGACCAGAGATCTCCCTTGTGTATCTGCTGTGTAAGAAAGGGAGCAGGATCAGGTGAGGGGAGTGGAGCTTTCTGTGGCGCTCGCTTGTGTGGACGGTCTGCGGTCACTCTGCCAGTTACTGCTGGGAGGTGATCGCTGTGGGATTTCCATCTGCAGCTCCCATGCCGTGCGTTTTGGGAGAAATCGTAGTTCTTTTCATTTCCAGGAGCCAATACAGAAACTTGCATCATGTTTTGGGTAAATGGTTTAGCCTCGAGGCTATGTTGTTATTGTGTGGATGCTACTCTGAAGAGCTTGTGGTTTGTGTAATCCTGGAAGTCTTTTCTTTTCCTGCTCCATATGCTCCTCTGACGTGGGAAATCTGTCTGCCTTGTATCTCGCCCTTCTCTCTTTTCCTAACAGATTCTCCCATATTTTACTCCTGCCTATTCAGAATGGACCTAGTGATGTCTTCAGTTTTTTCGCCTTGCTTTTTGTTCTTCTCTGTATCAGTACAGACCTGAGAATAGTTGCATAAGTTTCCTTACCCTTGTTATAATCAGATAACTTTTCTATTAATGTCTATTCTGAAAGAACCATCACACTTTGATTCAGAGGTTGCTACGTTCAGTGATGGGCACACAGACCTTTCCAAATGGTGTGCTACCCTAGAAAGAGGTTTCCCTTATTTCCCCAGGCCTAGGGTATAGCTGATAGCATTTCAAGTGGCTTATGGCTTTTAAGAGCTTGACCAATGGCAGTGGAGTACTATTTCTCCTAATCATTCCCTTTTTCCCTTTTTTCTATTGACTGGATTTTGGAAAAAGTGTTATTTTTTGTGTACACAGCTTGAAAGGCGATTCTGAATCTTTTAAAATGAGATGCTATGTAAATGTAAGAAAATTGCTGCTACAGACAAATGCCACATTTCATTTTTTAACCAAGTATTAAAATGAACTACAAATTTGCATTTCATTCTAGCCTAACTCATTATACTTGCAGCTGTTTGCACTGCTGCAGGAGGAAAAGAACTTTAGACCTCAGCCCCTGATATCCCATCTTGTGCCAATTTAAGCTTCTTTACAGCAGTGTGATTATGAAAACCATATACAAGGTTAAAAGCTCTGAATATTTGTTTTTGAACAAATGTTGCCCATTTGTATCAGAGTTCTCCTGCTGGATCCTAAACTACATGTTATGTTGTTGGAATCCTTATTTCAAAAGGCAGCGTTCAAGAAATGAATTTGAAGTGTTGGATGTTTCCCCCAACTTCATTAAACATTCATATGAAAAGATTGCTCTTTCAGTTATTTAACAAGGTGTGGAACAGGCATGCAACATGATATTCAGAAAACAATGGAGAAATCCAACCAAGAAATGTAGGTTTTTTATAACTCACTTCATTGAAGAAAATGCTCTTTTTTTTTCCAAAAAAAAAATTCAGCAGGGTATACACACCTCAGGAAGGAAGGCCACATCTCCACCTTGTGTAAGTCAGGCGCCATGCGTATGAACTCTACAATCTTTGGTGTTGGAACTGCTAGAGAGTCTGTGTTGCAGCGAGCCACAGATATGACCTTGTACTCCTCCTCATTGTTCTTATTTTTGAAAGCATTGCCAGAAAGTCTCTGAAGAGCAGAAAACATGAGAACCTGTAAAGGTCTGTAGCAACTGTACTAAAAGGACTCTGGTAAATGCCAGTAGGTTAAGTGGCTTATTTAGATGTGTAGGCCCTCTGAAAATATTCTAAATGAATGATGCTACTAGC